TCTTGTTCAATCAGTTCCGCGCCCAAGTGGGTATGTTTTTGAGAGTGGATCCTAGGATGGCCCTTAAGACAGCCGCTTCATGTCGCGTGCCTTGACTTCGAGGACTATACACCGAGCATGAACGGCCTCACTAGCGCGTCTTGACACTATATTCCTTCAACTTAAACCCTACAAGAACTAGCACAACGTGGAAGATCCTATCCTAGGTTGACTTGAAACACTTTCGTCGGGCTATCGTGGTTGTATAGAGGGTATTATTCCCTCTATGCCCCAAAAAATCGATGTAGCGAAGAAAGCAATGGAATGGCACACTAATTATCAGTCTACTGTTCATATTGTATAATTAGAAATTAATAAAAGTTTCAAATATTAAAGAGCAGTTATTAGCTGATATATATATCCTACTTTGGAGCTATTACGCTCCCTTAGTCCGAGGAGTAGCGATATTATTGAGATAAGGTCCTGAATGGCGATGTTAGACCTAAACTATGGCGGTAGTTAATTGTGCCGAGTATGAAGATATGCTGGGAATCGTATGGGAATCCTCGCTCTTGAACATAATTCGAAAATAGATAATAGTTGATTTACAAACTTGCTCCTAGAGAGGATTTATAACATGGTTTAATCTGCCACTCTACACGAAAACCTGGCACTACAAAGAATCACATAGAACCACAGGAGCAAGATATAATAACATGGATAATGTTATTGTGTTAATTAAATATATTATGACTAGTTCAAGATCTATCACATCTCATTATATTGCCTCCAGCCACAGAACCTCCTGAGCAAAACAGTTCATCTCCTAGCTATGGATAGGAGACATGTCAGCCCCAAAGAATATTCATCTTTTGCCATATGCTGTCTTTCTTGATCGGCACATTCTCCGGGTCATTGTTGGCTTCGTCTATCGCTTGTTGAACCGGCACCAGCTTGAGAGGAATAATCTCTGTCCGGCGGATCAACTTGTAGCCCCCGTACGCAAGGAGGACGAGCGGAATATCCCTAGTGTCATGGTCAGCAAACTGAATTTAATGCCACAAAGAAGAAGACTCACAGATACGATGAGACAAACGAGGCAGGGTCCCAATTTCCTGCTGTGAAAACTACAAATCCTCCAGTCAAGAGAATCACCACACAAGAGACCAACGCGAACCAGCTTGTGTATCCTTGATAATGTCAGTATTAGAATCCTTCCAAGACTTGATTTGTCAAAACTGGACTGCAATACATACTGGTAATGCGATTATGCCACGGCAACTCTGTTGGTGATATCCCCTGTTTATCCAGCGCTTGCAACAAACGAATATGGTTCAAGCTTATGGTGATCCACGAGACCAAGGTGCCAGCCGCAGTCAAATCGACGAACCACCAGAAGACATTCATGGCATTGTTGGAAACACACATGTAAGCTAGGAAGGAGAAGGCAACCTGTAGCAACACACACATGTACGGCACTCCCCACTTGGTGGTACGCAGGAATATCCTTGGAGCATGGCCCTTGACCGCAAGACCATATAAAGTTCTGGTTCCTGTGAGAATACTCTGGTTCGATGCAGACCACGCAGAGGTCAAGCAGACGGCATTCACAACGGAAGGAATAGCCTTGATGCCTGCATCGCCGGCGGCAATGACGAACGGACTCGTAGCCGCAGTGCCAGAGTCTGAGCCGAGACGCTCATCAGCGCTAGAGACCAACATACCCACGACCAGCACAGTGGCGACGTAGAAGATAGAAACTCGCGCGAATACCCTTTTACAGGCCTTGGGGATATTCTGTCGCGGGTTTTTTGTTTCACCAGCGGTCGTGGCCAAAGATTCCACACCTGCGAACGAGTAGACTGCATTGGTCATGACAGCCCAGAATCCGAGGAAGCGCCCCAAAGAACCAGTAGCAATATACTCGACGAACGGTCCGGGGTCTTTCCAGTAGTGGAAGCCTCGTCGGGGCACACCTGGCACACCGCCAAGATCAATGACAAGGCCGAGAATGACCACGAAAATCACCAGCAGGATCTTGAGAATGGCGAAAATGAATTCAATTTCGCCATAGACGCTGATCAACGAGACAGCAACAACCACGGACACCACTATGAGGATAGTCACCCAGACAGCGGCATTGATATCCGTCCAGTATTGGATAAGGACGACGCTGGCCGAGATTTCACTCGGAACACTGATAAAGCATCCGTAAACAACATTCCAGCCGACCGCAAATGCTAGCGCGGGATCAACTAAAATCTCTGCGTGTCGCACAAAAGAACCAGTTACTGGCAGCAGCGCTGAGACTTCTCCCAGTGCAAATTGAATGCAGCAGACTATCAGGCCGACGAACAGGTAGCCTAGCAGGGCACCCAGAGGACCACCGGTAGCGATCGAGCCACCCAGACCGAGAAAGAGACCCGTACCCTATATCAGGTCAGTCATGAAGTTTCTCTCTTCATAATGGTCTACATACGATTGCGCCAGCAATGGCAATCATCTGGATATGGCGTTGCCCCAGACCCCGGATCAAACTTTGGCGTTCATACTGGGTAACGATCTGCCCGTCGTCGACGATGGAAGCGCTCGATGGACCCGAGTGTGGGGTGAAGTGTTGATCTTCTACATCCTGAACATTGTGAACGATGTATTGACTCCCCGTCTTGGTAGAACTCTGATCCTTGAATACCCCTGCCATGGCGTCGTTGCAGGAAACAAAGTCTTCCAAACAGAAAATATTTCCACGCTAGAGGGGGGCCAGGTAGGCTAATCACACCATTTGACTGGTTGATGAGGGAAGGCTACTCCGTAATTTTTGCTTATCTGCCCAGGTGGGTTAAACCGAGCTTTCGCGTAACGAAAATTATATTAAGGAGAAATCGAAATTGGTGGCCTCGGGGGTAACGCGTTAAATAGAAATAACATGCATGAAAATGATTGGTTCATTATTGATTGCAGAATGTCGCAATTTGAACGGAAAAGCAATATGTATCGGAGTGGAATTGAAATGCGATACATAGTAAAATGGTGCAATCAGTTCGGTACACACACTCGGGAAGTCTCCGAGCTGTTCTAAACTCCACCTTTGGCTTTGACCATTGGTTGGACTGGAACAAGACTAGCCCTATGTGGATGATATAGGCCGAGTTTTTCCGGCCCGGTGGTTATGCTGTATGTGAATCCGTACGGAGTACGTACTCCGCATATCAACATCGTTATGCTACTGGTGCAAAACTTGGAATATATAAGGCTCAAATGCTATTAAAATGCCTTTCTCCGACAGGACCTATATGGAATATAGCTGATACTATGTAGACCAAGAAGCTATGTACGCCCACGTTTCCGTGCTAACATGGAGGTTTGTTTATCTCTTTACTTTAAATAGTGGGAGCATATGTAGAAATCAAATAGTTCAACACTGTGTAATTATATCAGGCTCTACAAATCTTCAGTAAATAGGCTGTTACTGCCAAGCAAATATTGGAAATAAGCCTCCTATGGTCGTTGGTACCTCTTCATGGGCGCGCCAGTAAGGTTGAGGACGGTGCTGAGTAATCAACACGCGGGCCCAACGTAGGTACCGCGGAGGTAAGCAAGTGACTCAAGCTTCATATGTTCACTCTCTCCCTTCTCCAGCCATGTCGTTAACATTGAAGCTCTCCTCCTTGGCAATCCGGACTTTGTCCAAGCCCATTGCTGTAAGCTTGTATCTCAAGCTCAACCCTGCCAAATTCAGAGGCTGACCCACACAGTCTCAAATTAAAGCCCAGGCCCGTGAACATGAACGCTTTCGCAAGGTCTGCGTTTCTATGGCCCAAGCGCTCCATAGATTCGATATGCGTCTCCGACTAGGCTCCATCCGCGATACTGCTGCCTCACAACGCCAAGCTGCCGCCGCTGCCGAAGCTCGAAAACACAAGCCTACAGCCCCCACTGTTCGAAACGCCGCCGACACGAAAGCTGCAGAGGACGCAGAGGCCAAGGCTAAGGCTGCAGCGGAAGAAGCGGCCAAACCACACCACTACCGTATCCGTCCCCTTTCCGAGTCTAAAGCTATAGAGTCCGGTGCCAACTTCATCTCCGAATCCTTCCTCTTCCTTGTTGCTGGAGGCCTGATCCTCTTTGAATCGTGGCGGTCACGGAACAAGGAAAGTACACGGCGGGAAGGTGTGGAGGGAAGATTGGCAGATCTGGAACAATCAGAACAGGCGGCACGCGAAGCTCTGGTGACACTAGAAAAGGAGCTGCTCCAGCTAAGAGCAAAGCACGGCGATTTGCCCAAGTTGTCTACGAAGAGGATTCTGTCTCCTGAGATCTATGAACAATCTCCAGAGCCGGATATGCCAGAAGTTCCACAGGGGTTGCTCTCACGCATTTCCTCCTACATCTCTTTTGGTCAAAGCACCGAGAAGACGACCGAGTCTACGCCTAATACTCAGCCCACAACAGAAAAGGCTGCACCAACAACCCAAAGTTCGGACCATTCTGCTGCACCAGCTAGTCGGACGTCATCATCTACATCGAAAAGCTTGTGATTGTTGATTGTTAATTGATATTCGTATCATACCTAGCGATATCCTATTATATAAGGTTAGGCGTGCATTTGCTTTTTCATTCGATCAAGATACCCCATTGAACCACTGGATAGATTAGAAGAAGTCGGTTCTTTCTCGAGAGTAGGGATTTGCAAGGCGGAGTCATTTGTTGATATTTCTATCCGCTCCTTCCCTGAAATGTACATACACACATCACGTCCATAGAGGCAACAACTCATCTCTTTGATTCTCTTCTCTTTCATCGCCACTTTACCCCTGACGCTTCCCTTTTCAATCATTTCTTTTATTGATCCTTTGTTTGCTATGGCTGCTGAGTCTCTTCCTCCTGACAACGGGCTTCCCTCTCCTCGCTCTGCCGCCAGCCCACTCAATTCCTCAGTACCATTTATCCCCATATCTACGCTCGCCCCTCGAACGACAGGAAGTGGAAGTCCACACTCTAGTTCCTCGTCCAGTGCTACAATGTCTACCCCTCCCCCAACTCTCGGTCTTCGGGGTGAGTATAACCCAGAACTTCGGAAACGCGATGAATGGGCCAGGTTGGCTACCACCCTTACTGCCCTTGGCACAATGAAAGAAGGTATGATACTCTCATGCATTATTGATCTACTCAACGCCTAGAGCTGACCATATTCTCTAGCTTCGCCGGGGCCTCCCAAGACAGATTTCAGTTGTGGGTTCCCTTGACTCCCCCAGAAAAGCTCCAAACGTTAACTCTCCCCCAAGCTCTGTGGGGTGCCCGAGATGCCGATTTCAGCTTTGAGCTCATCTACCAGAATCGAACCTTGTCTACGTTCGATGTCCTGCATCAGATACACTCTATCAAGCTCAATGCGCTTTTGTTGACTCCTAGTCGATTAAACGTAACCACGAGACACCAAACTGCGACTGCAATCCAGAATTTTACTGAAGCCAACAAGAACTCATTGGGGGTGATTGTGTACTTGATGGATGCGATATCGTCAGGCAACGAACAGATCGATGCAGTGCAGTCTCTCGGTGCACTACACCACTGCCTTTCATTAGGCTTCGCAGAACCACCTCCTGTCCTTGTTGTGTCCGACGCATCCTACCTCCTGGATTGCATAGGCGCTTACATGAAGAGCGTCTCCCGCGCAAACCCGGTGAGTTGTAGTCGAATGACAAGGCTTGCCTTGTGTTGGTCATTTACTAATATATCGATTAGATTTCGGTCAACAGCTCTGGAGATAAGCTATTATGGCCTAGATCGCCTGTTCCTGCGCCTGCGCCTACATCATTTCCGCCTTCGAAGTTTTCGTTTTCAACCCAGGCCAAAAAGTGAAGCTCCAGGTACAGGCATTTCAGAAGACTGGTCGCTTTTCCGAGAAGGAATATCTTCGATTCCAGGCATTTGAACCTGGCGAGAGTCAGCACGATATTATGAATGAGCATTGGACTTTTTCTTAATCCACAATGTATGATTACTACCCAATCCACGTCTCCATATCCATTTATCGGCTTTGTTGCTGTTGTCTCCCACTGAATGTTTGGTCTGCTGCACTGGGACGTCAAACTTCATGCCTTCATTTAAGGGACCCCACAAACCTAGTCAGTTTCTTCTTTTATGAGGCTTGCCAAAGAGGTTGAATCCTAATGTTGGGAGTCTTACTTTAAACAACATATGACCTTATCCCGTTGTTTCTATCTACACTATATCGCTATCAAATGATTACCTTCAAGAATGATCAGGGTAATGTTCATCAGCAGCGCAATATCATTGCGACCAATCTCCTATCACTGGGAGTTCATAGCTCTGGAGCACTTCAACAGCCATAGGTGGCTCCGGTCCTGGCGAATGCTGCATCTGCAATGTTGGGACCGTATGACTGGTACGCCGGGGTTTGATGGTGGGTGTTGACTTTCGTCTCAGAGTTCATGTTGATGTCCTGCTGACAGAGACCGGTTTACTGGTGGAAATTGTGTAGCTGGGACCGAAGCCAACCCCAAGAGGCACAGTAAGCATTACGAAAGCCATGGACCCAAGATTTGACATCAATCCCATAGCTTGGTAACCAGCCAAGCGGTCTGTATCCCGGACGCTTTGTCCCCCAGGAATTTGTGACTCTTCAGCGACTGAATAGCCACCAGCGCACTGTTCACCTCCATATAGTCCGCCTCGCTGTTCGAGTTTAATAGCAGTCGAGTTGCGCGGATTTGAAGTTACATAATTGAACACTCAAAGGAAATCTCCAGGCCAAATTGTGAGTACAGTTCATTAATAGTTTCAAGTAATCTATGGGGGTCTAGGCAGGTCAATCAGAATTAGGATTAGGCAGGAGTATACTTGTCCTAAGGGATATATGCCCAATGACGTCGGTGCATCTATTCTTAACCGCACGAGCCACAAGCCCTGACGCGCGTGGCGGACCCAGGAGGTTCGTAGAAAAAAAGAATTGCCATGGAACAAAACTTAGATTGAGCAATAAGAATGCCTATATCAAAATAGATCATCCTTAGTAACCGGGTAAATTAATGTCCAATTCGCCCCTGAGGCAGCAACGGAACCAGAAAAGGGACTCTTCTGTGGCGCAGCTGTTTGCTTCGGTTTGACTTGCTGTACGTAAGTCCGCCCAGTCACTTCCCTCTTACAATTACCTAGAATTGGTTCTAGACTATTTCCTATTCACTCTCAATTCCTGACTCTTAACTTGTCACAAGAATTCACCTATTCGGTTGACAGGTCAGATTTCACATTTGTCGCCTGGGCGCGAGATCCCCCGAGAGGTTGACACAAGATGGTAGGTGGCCTACTTGCGCAATGACCAGATAAGATCCAAACTGACCCTGTGATTGCGATGTAGGGTCAGTCACGACGCCCCGTTGGCGGAGAGAAGAAGAGCCGCTTTGGGCGCTCCAAAGCAGTCGCAGATGTCGGCGATGGCCGGCAAGCGGGGGGAAAGCCGCAGGTCAGGAAGGCCGCCTTCGAGAGCAGCAAGAAGAAGGAAATTGGTGTGTCAGATCTTACGCTGCTCAGCAAGATCTCCAACGAGGCCATCAATGACAATCTGAAGCTCCGGTTCGAGCACGACGAGATTTATGTAAGGGATCGCTCTCTGCGGGGTTGTGCGCGAACACGAGTTTAGGCTAATAGGAGACTACTAGACTTATATTGGCCATGTATTGGTCTCAGTGAATCCTTTCCGAGACTGTGAGTTGCTCCGCAAGGATGATTCGGTTCCCTATTTGCTAACATATTTGTGATCACAGTGGGTATCTACACAGATAATGTCCTCGATTCGTATCGCGGCAAGAACCGCCTCGAAGTCCCTCCCCATGTATTCGGAGTCGCCGAGTCCGCATACTACAACATGAAATCCTACAAGGACAACCAGTGTGTCATCATTTCTGGAGAGTCTGGTGCCGGAAAGACCGAGGCTGCGAAGCGGATCATGCAATACATTGCTAGTGTCTCCGGTGGCGGTGATTCGTCTATTCAGCAGACCAAGGAAATGGTATTGGCGACGAATCCGTTGCTGGAGTCATTCGGTAATGCGAAGACGCTGCGCAACAACAACTCGTCCCGATTCGGAAAGTACCTAGAATTGGAATTCAATGCCAACGGTGAGCCGGTGGGAGCCAATATTACGAATTATCTGCTTGAGAAGTCACGAGTTGTGGGACAAATCGCGAATGAGCGCAATTTCCACATCTTCTACCAACTCACAAAGGGTGCCCCACAGAAGTACCGCGACAGTTTCGGTCTTCAGCAACCCCAGTCTTACCTTTACACGAGCCGTTCCAAGTGTTTCGATGTACCAGGAATCGACGATGTCGCCGAGTTCAAGGATACACTGGATGCGATGAGGGTGATTGGAATGAGCGATGCCGAGCAGGATAATGTTTTCCGCATGCTGGCAGCTATTCTCTGGATTGGAAATGTTCAGTTCAGCGAGGACGACTCTGGCAATGCTACTATTAGCGATCAGTCAGTTGTTGATTTCGTCGCCTACCTCTTGGAGGTCGATTCTGCTCAAGTGAATAAAGCTTTGACCATTCGTCTGATGGAGACTGCCCGAGGAGGGCGCAGGGGCTCCGTATATGAAGTGCCGCTGAACAGGGTCCAAGCTTCCGCCGTTCGGGACGCTTTGGCAAAGGGAATTTACTTCAATCTGTTTGATTGGATTGTAGAGCGTGTCAACCAGTCACTGACTGCTCGCGGGTCCATCACCAATTCGATTGGTATCCTGGATATTTACGGATTCGAAATCTTCGAGAAGAACTCTTTCGAGCAGCTGTGTATTAACTATGTCAACGAAAAGCTGCAGCAGATTTTCATTCAGTTGACTCTCAAAGCAGAACAAGATGAGTATGCTCGCGAGCAGATCAAGTGGACTCCTATTGAGTACTTTGACAATAAGGTGGTTTGCTCTTTGATCGAGGACAAGCGCCCCCCTGGAGTTTTCGCCGCTTTGAACGATGCCTGCGCAACTGCCCACGCTGACTCCGGTGCGGCCGATCAAACTTTCGTTGGCAGGCTCAACTTCCTATCCCAGAACCCCAACTTCGAAGGTCGCCAGGGTCAGTTCATCATCAAGCACTACGCCGGTGATGTCAGCTACGCCGTGGAGGGAATGACAGATAAGAACAAGGATCAGCTGTTGAAGGACTTGTTGAACCTTGCCCAATCTAGCAGCAACGAATTCGTCCACTCGCTGTTCCCCGACCAGGTCAACCAAGATGACAAGCGTCGCCCACCTACCGCCGGTGACAAGATTAAGGCATCCGCAAATGACCTTGTGGCCACGCTCATGAAGGCGCAGCCATCTTATATTCGCACAATAAAACCCAACGATAACAAGGCCCCCAGGGAGTACAACCATGGCAATGTCCTGCACCAGATTAAGTACCTGGGTCTCCAAGAGAACGTCCGCATTCGACGTGCTGGCTTTGCCTACCGTCAGACCTTCGACAAGTTTACCGAGCGATTCTACCTCTTGTCTCCCAAGACTTCGTATGCAGGCGACTACACATGGACTGGCGATGTGGAATCCGGCGCGAAGCAGATCTTGAAGGATACCCGGATTCCTACTGAGGAGTATCAGATGGGTATCACAAAGGTTTTCGTCAAGACTCCTGAGACACTGTTCGCACTCGAAGCCATGCGCGACAAATATTGGCACAACATGGCCATCCGCATTCAGCGCGCTTGGAGAAACTATCTCCGGTACCGCATTGAATGTGCGATCCGTATCCAGCGCTTCTGGCGCCGCATGACCGGTGGACTCGAGATCATCAAGGTTCGTGATCAGGGACACCAGGTGCTTCAGGGCCGCAAGGAACGCCGGAGAATGAGTCTTCTCGGTTCTCGTCGCTTCCTGGGCGATTATCTCGGTGTCGGGAATACCGGTGGTCCGGGTGAAATGATCCGCAACGGTGCAGGCATCAGCGGTTCAGATGAAGTTATTTTCTCGTGCCGTGCCGAGCTTTTGGTGTCTAAGTTCGGTCGTTCTAGCAAGCCTGTTCCCCGGATTCTTGTCCTGACGAGTCGACATGTCTACATTGTTGCACAGAGTATCGAAAACAACCAACTTGTTATTTCAGCGGAACGAACTGTTCCGGTTGGAGCCATCAAGAGTGTGAGCACCTCGAATCTCAAGGACGACTGGTTCTCGCTGGTTATTGGGGCTCAAGAACCCGACCCACTCATCAATTGTATCTTCAAAACTGAGTTCTTTACTCATCTCACCACTGTCCTACGTGGATCTCTCACTTTGAAGGTTGGAGAAACCATTGAATACCATAAGAAGCCTGGCAAGCTGGCGACCGTCAAGGCAGTCAAAGATCCAGCTGCTGGAAACGTCGACAGCTACAAAAGTAGCACAATTCACACTAGTGGTGGTGAGCCTCCTAACTCTGTCTCAAAACCCACTCCACGCGCGAAGGCGGTTGCTGCTCGCCCGGTTACGAAGGGCAAGCTACTTCGTCCTGGTGGCCCTGGTGGCGGCCCTTCGAAATTGTCTCAGGCTGCTCGCAGACCTGTCCCTGCCGCCCAGCCTCTGCCCCGGTCTACCCCACAGCCTGTCGCAGTACCGCAACCTGCTGCCCAGCCGCGCATTGTGCCTCAACCTCGCATCGTGCCTCAGCCTGTGGCTGCTGCCGCCGCTGCGCACTCTCGCAACGAGTCTTATAGCTCTGTCAGGTCTTCTGGCTCCGCACGGGGTCCCCCCCCACCTCCCCCTGCGGCACCTCCAGCCTCAAGAAAGCCCTCCGCAAAGGTCAAGTATGACTACAACAGCGACCGGGCCAATGAGCTTTCCATCCTCAAAGGCGAAATTGTGGAAATTGTATCCAAGGAAGGAAATGGTACGTACCCATCGTATACTTCGTTTTGATCATAACTAACTTGTCTTAGGTTGGTGGCTGTGTAAAAATACAACAACATCAGCGCAAGGATGGACACCCGAATCCTACCTTGAAGAAGTAGCTGCCGCTCCCGCGCCAAAGCCCATTCCACCCCCACCTCCTATGGCACCCCGCGCAACCCCCAGCCCTATTCCAAACGGCGCTGGAGCCGCTGCAGCCGCCAAGACCAAGCCCGCCCCGCCAGCTCCCCCAGCCAAGCGTCCCAACATGACCGGACGCAAGCCCGCGCCCCCGCCCGCTCCACGGGATAGCGTCGCGAGCATGCAATCGGGCGACTCATCAGGCGCCAGCGGCCGCGGTACGCCCAACAGCGCATCCAACGCCAGTCTAGCAGGTGGTTTGGCCGAGGCACTGCGGGCACGACAAAGCGCGATGCAGGGCAAACACGACGATGACGATGAGTGGTAGAGTTGAGAAGTGCATTGTTTATGGTCTGTCGCGGTGTTGGACATTTCTGCGCTTAGCGTTGACCTTTTGCGTTTGTTTTCGTTTGTGAGGGGCCGTGGCATGTGCATGCAAAGGTCAGCGAGTCATTTTCTTTTCTTCCCATTGTTATTACATGCTACAGTAGAGCCGAGTTCAATATATACCGTTTCGCGTGAATCAAAATCATACGGGAATTTGTCATGTTATCCTGGATGCTATTCATATCTTAACCCACAATACCATGCGCATATGTTCTTTATGATCCATTCTAGGATATACCTAACTATCACCCACCATACATGCGTTGTAAACACACTTTCTCTCTCTCTCTTTCAATACAGCCACAAACCATCTTGTTCCAACTTCCCCTCGGCTTCGATCTTCTTCATACAAGTCTTGATTCTCTCCACGACATGCTCCGCATACCCCGGTCCCAGCGGCGGCTTGGGCACACTCATATTCATCTTCAACCAAGGGATAGAACTGAATCCTTGGGATGCCTGGCGCATCTCATCAATTTCCTCATCGCTATATAAAGCCCCCGCAAACACAGCGACGGGTAGCTTGGAATAGTTCATTGTGCCACGATTGGGCTCTTCGGCAATGGGAGGGATCTGCCCTTGCAGCAAAGCGGGTATTTCGACTGCTCCCAAGTTGCTGCTGATGACGTTATGTATAACTATGGATGATGTTAGTTTTTGGTTTTAAGTAAGGGCTGTATGTTCCTTACTTTCGTACTCGGGTAAGTAAAGAGGTTTCACAGCGTTGAAGATCTGGGGGTTGGCGCTGCCACAGGTAATGACTGGTAAAGCTGACATGATGGTTGAGATCAATTTATCATTGTAAGAGTGGTACTGTACTGAAAAAGAGACATTGTCTATGGGAGGGAGATACTAGTATATATAACCCGGGGCGGGGTGATGATCGCGGCTGCTGAACTTTACTGACGTGGTGAATTCAATCCCCACACCTCCAGGGCTGAGAGATATTATTCCGTCTGTATATCAGGCGTGTATGGAGTAGAATGCCAAAAACAAACTTAGAGGCTCGTGGAGGCTTGTTGTTGCTTCAATGCCCTCACGGCACAGTTGTGAGAGGCCAAACCGACCAGGAAAAGCTAAGCAAAAAGTCAAAACAGACTAACACGACAAAGAAGTTACGCAGGAGGCCCAAGTTCAGGATAAATTCCGGAGAAGCCCGCCTCTTGGAAACTTTAGAGGGAGCCAGGCTGTATTCATGTAAACCTTGGAATACACGATATAAGAGCCGCTGCTGTTTGATTGGTCTGGTCGTATAGAGCTGCGGATCTGCGAAGGAAGAGCAAGTATTGCTAACCAATCAAGTAGACACCCGAGCCTGGCGAAATCAAGCTATTTGTATATTTACGTTGAAAGTAAAGAATGATATTACTAACGCCCTTCTAGCGTTGGAAGGCCATTTCCGTAGTATAGTTAGCTGTCTGGTAGGGATTCTAGAACACTAAAAGGATTTGAATAATTATATGCGTACTATATACTTTCTCGCGCAGCAATAGTGATGACGATAGGAAAGGTAAGAGGAACAAGATATCCCATTCCTAGCCTGTTGCTGCTGCGTTGTCATCCCCGGGCCCAAATGCCAACGAGCGAGGCTTTCCCGAGCTATCACAAGGAAGAAAGCGCCATGCACCAGAATTTCGTCTGGCCAAAAAATACGATATCACCCATGCAGCCATAGGAGGCAGCGAAGGCCACTGGTTGCCTCCCTCGAAGGTAACGTCCCGCAGGCCGAGTACCATGGGAGGGACCACTTGCTGTCATGGAAGATTTTATCAGCACTAATAATCTCGTTCAATCTCCAGGGTTTGCAGGTCACAATATACCTTGTCTTGCTTGGTTGCTTCAGCTACACAATTTTTGTACACCTTCAACAACGCCGCTTCATTATACGGCTCCATTGAGAGGAGACTGTTGAATTCGTCGCTTAGATGGCGGTGGAAACTGGGCGCCATTTCCTCAATGGTTCTTCGGATCGTCTTGGCATCGTAATCCGCATGGCCAGTATGGCTGGAATACTCTTGAAGGATTTTCAACTGCGGCTGGAATGCATGGTGCTGTTCTACATTAGTGTCGAGGAAGCCAGCCGTGCCAATGACTTTCTCGAAACCGGGAAACATTTGTGTTTCTTCCAGGATATGATGATCGGACACCCAGCTTGCCCAGGACTTGATGAAGAAGAGAAAATCTTCAATGTCTTGGGGTTTCTGGACATGCTCTGCTTGGAGGTAGATGCTGTTTAGGCCTCGGATCATGCAGTTATGGGTACAGGCCATTTCGTTTGCAATGTAAATAGCCGCATGTTTTGACTAAGAAAGAATAAGTGAAATGTAATCGAAACAGAGAGTTGAAAATGATTTCTTACCACGTCTTGCGTTTTGGAAGGGGTTTCAATTAGTGACCATGGCCCATCTGCCCATACTGGATTTGCCATGAGAGTCGCTGGAATAATTTATCTTAATAGAGTGAGTAGATTTGGTAATTTCTGCTGGGAGAGTCGGAGATACAGAGGAAACTAGGTCAGGGATGCTGCAATAAGTACACGCTAATAGGAAAGCCATAAACAAGCTGCGTTAATCTGCCACAAGCCATTTGATATTAATTAAACTCATATCACCAATACATACGAAGTACAGGTGGGGCTGAACAGGCTGACAGGTATGGAGTAGACAAGTTGAAATACGGGAGTCTGGCTGGGCTGCATGTCTGACTAGGGCATCGTCATTTGCGGCTGAAAGCCTCAAGTTGGAGGGGTACATTTTGAAGTTGGGTCGCAGTGAATTTGGGTATACGACGTCGGTTGTATTTCAAATCAAGGATAAGAAGAAAGACCATCATTCAGCCTCATTTGTTGTCTGATTAAATATAATTAACCCTGCGAGCGTAAATAACAAACGTAAGATACATTAAGTTGTTATCAACCGACATCGGGGCTAATAAAAGGCTTACTTGGCAATGGGAATCTGGGGGAGCAATTAAGCGATGATAAATGATATTCCACTAAAGTTACTATTGGCACTTGAAATGTATTTAGGCTAAGTAAGCTCAGACTGTTTCTAGATGCGAAGAACATTCCAATTGGAAGATAAAAAGTCTCAAAGGAGTATGGCAATGCTATGCTATGCAAGACAGGATATGCTCATGGTCAATATCTACTTCTAGTGGATCAAGATATAGAATCATATAATCCACTTCTAATGAGCTAGATCGCTTTACTTTCTAGCCTTCAGCTGAACCATCAAATCATTCTTCTCCCACAGAAAGAAGGTTTTCTGTTTCTCCCAACCAATAGACTCGGGGAGAAGAGAAAGCTCAAAGTTATATAGCACTTTGGCCAGAATGAGACGCATTTCGTGGTATGCAAGACTATTCAATCATTAGCTACTGAGCACTACCATTCGGAGAGAAGGATGAGGACATACTTCTTTCCAATGCAGTTGCGAGGGCCGAACGAGAATGGTTGGAATGCAGCCTTATTATCAGTGGCAAACTCATCGCCAATCCAACGCTCCGGGATGAACTGATTTGGCAGTCGAAAGTTTTGAGCATTGCGATAGGTAGACCAGTGATGAACTGAAAGCACAGTCTATTATATCATTCAGATATTAGAAATCAAGCATAGAAAATAGTGAGCGGGAAAGAAAATACCTTTCCTGGAATATGTTCTCCACAGACAAGCAATCCCTCATTGGGAGCGATGCGAGGCAGACCCACCGGGACCGGAGGGTAGATGCGCAACCCTTCCTCAATGCACGCATTGAGATATGGCATACGCTCCAGAGATCTCATGTCGATGTCAGAGTCTTTCTTAAAAGTTTCACGAACTTCCTCTACAATGATCTTCATCTTTTCAGGAGTCGTCAGGAGATGGTAGAGCAAGCCACTTAGTGCAGTTGCAGTAGTCTCGGTACCTGCAACCATGAACACCTGGGAATTGGCATACATCTCCGAGCGACTAAGACGGAGTTCCTCCTTTTGACTCATGACAATGCCCCAGATGTCAGGTTTTTGCAGGGTATGGTCGCCGTCAATCCTTTTATCAACAAGCTCCTGCGAGGCCTCGTAATGAGCAATGCTTTGTTGCTTCAATTCCTTCGGAATGAGCCTTTGAGCAATGGGGGAAGTCCAAGGGACGTAGCGTGCCAGTCTGCGCACAGCATTGGCTTTTATACTGACAAAAACCGCAGACACCCAATTGAGGTTACCAGTTCCAGCTAACAGGTTCAAGGAGTCACCGAAGGTCAAATCTCCCATGATGTCAAAGGTGGTCAAATTGAGCATGCGGACCATATTTATTTTCGCATTGGGATCCTGCTTGATTGTTTTCTGGAGGCTGTGAACTAAAGTGTCCACATATCGACAGATCAGAGATTGTTGTTCTCGAAGCGCCCGATCAGAAAAGGCGTGCGAGAAGTTGCGGCGGAAACGGGCATGGTCAGGTCCATTTCCTCTGATGATATCTGGCGCTCCGTTAAATGATGGACCATAGAATCGAGGGTCCTTCTCCGTGACTGGTTTCCCTGCGGTGGCATGACCGTAGATTCCCTTCCATGCCTCGCCAGTCGCATAGCTCAGCTCATCTGGGGCGATGCGGATTACATCGCCGTGTAGAGAATGTAGTCCACTGGTCCATTCAAGCAGGTCGCCTTTGAAGGTATGGTAGAGCTGAGGTATCCGTGATATAGCTGCGAACTTTGGTCCAGCATATTTTCCAAGAGGGTTGATGAAGATCTGGTAGTATGCCTGCGAGACTAACACCAGAAAAATCTAAACAAAATATGTTAGCACATCAGCAAGAATGGCTTGGTAGAAAGAGAGGAGTAAGCGCACCGAAGTGGCGATGGCTGAAATGTAATTTCCATGCAGCAAAGCTGAAGCGGATTCAAGCAGCATCTTGGATTATGAGAATGTTCTTCTGGGTCAAAAATGATAGATTGTAATAACAGGAAAGTAGAATAGGCTTGGAACATATTATATTAACAACTTGACCATAATGTCACTTTGGTTTTGAATTGTGCAGGCTGTTTCGTGCATAGTTATGATCGCGCTAAACTGACACCTAGCTAAGCCTGCAGGGGCAATGATAAATTTCGTAATCACATCACACTATGAGGGATAAATGTACATTTCAAATTGAATTGAAATTGATCGACGCCCATATTGCTGCAGAATCTATGTTAACGGTTGAGACGGGAGTGGCGTATGCCATGGAAACTGGGGATAATTAGTGCATAACTTGTTTCCCTCGGACATATTTTGACCCCATGTAAGTACCTGCATAATCATGATTAAGCACGAAATTTGATTAGACAAACCGTTAACCTTGAGATTTGGTAAAATAAGTTTTCCCAAATCGAATCTCTCGACCATTGCCAGTAGTCACTCAGAGTCTAAAATCCCAACGAGGACCAATTAGGGCTCGCTGCGGTGTAGAGCTCATCTATTGGCACCATTAGCCAAGACAGATTGAATCATATTTAGAATAGAACTAAGCGAGCTAAGGGGTATGCAGTATCATTGGAAATGAGGCTATGGGTAAACATGAAATAGTGGTTGGGAAATATTTAAGCTGAAGCATTCTCGTCTATAGGTTTATCTGTGTTCTTAGAACTATGTTATACTCTACTCTTATGGTTTATACCGATGGAAACATAACCCTAATGCTAATTCTAAAAATTAATGACTGGCAGGCACAAAAATGGAATCGATGCGCGACAACCCTTACAGCGTTGTTCCGAAAGCCCCAACCAGTCCCTCGGTCAACAAAACTTTATACAGCTACATTTCCTCTGTACGAAGTACTGTTATCCTCTCTTCGCTGATTTCCTGGATTGTTTCTTCTTCAAAGAGTGACAAGCGCACTAAAATAGAGATAGAAAGATCTCAAGGGCCAGACATTATCCGGTACATATGCAAATCGAACCATTTACAAGAACTTGCTAGCAAGACTCATAAGTCCTCCAGCACCACCAGAGCCACCACCCTGATTCTTCATGTACATCTTAAGCGCCATCTCGGCAGCAGAGTTAACAGCGGACTGCTTATCACCGGACTAAAACAAGAACCATTAGCATCATCATCCCCAACCAAAAGAAGAATAAGAAGAACATACCACATTACCCCCAGATCCATTCTTCTCATCAAACAACTTCCCAGCCTGAGCCATAGCAAGGCCAATAAGCTTGTTCTTATCCATACCACCATCACTGCTTCCACTGCTACCACTGTTTCCACCGGTAAACATCTTCAAAGCCTGCATCGCAGCACCAGCACCGATGGTGCTGGAATCATGCTGCTGGTTCGACGAGCTGCCGGAGCCGTACATGGCCTGGTGGGCATTAGCCGCCTGCTGCTCGTCGATATCGCCGCCGGAGCTCTGGCGGTCCTTGAGGAAGTTCAAAGCAGTGCTGAACAGGGACTTGTCTTCGCTGCTGTGGTTCTCCTGTGCGTGCGAGGCGGCGCTGCTGAAGTCATCGTCGTCGTTGTTGTTGTGGGAAGAGTGGTGGTTGGAGGAGGAGTTGTTGCCGTAGCCGGAGGAGTTGTTGTTGTTGTTGTTGCCTCCGTAGCCACCGCTGTTGTGGGATTCCTGACGGCCGCCGTAGTTGCCCTGGTTCTGGTTTTGGTTCGGGTTGTAGCCGTCGTTGGAGGAGTTTCCGTAGCCACCGCTGGATCCACCGTAGGAGTCGTTGTTGTTGTTGTTGTTGTTGTTACCGTAGCCACCGCTACCGTGGGATTCTTGACGGCCACCGTAACCCTGACCTTGGTTCTGGTTTCCGTAACCCTCGTTGGAGCGGCCCTCGTTGGAGTTGCCGTAACCACCGCTGGAGCCACCGTAAGAGTTGTTGTTGTTATTGTTGTTGTTACGGCCGGAGAAATCCTCGTTGCTGTTGTAGTAGCTGTTGCTAGCACCGCCGCCGCCGCCACTGCCGTATTCCTGGTTATCGCGGTAAGACATGGTTGTAGGTAGATGGAGAATGAGAATGAGATAGAGATAGGGTGAGTTAAGAGGAAAAGTGGAAATGGAAATTAAATCTGTGAATTTAATAGCAAAACTCAAACAACCGAATGGAATCGAAGAGCTTCAGCTGAGGTTGGACGAGGAGGGGTTGCGGGGCATTTTTTTGTTGATCGCACTGATTTGGGCGATTCGCTGTTCGATCGGATGGGGTGGATCGGAGCTGAGGTGGCCAATTATTGACAAGTGGGCTGTTCAGTGCATGTTTTGAGAGGTTGACTATTGATTTTGGATTTCTTTTTGGCTGGTTCTGGTGATTTTAGTGTGTTTTGGTATGTTTTAGGCGATAGTTCGGAGTTTATATGGGGCGACTACGATATGAAGCTGAACAGAAGTTGTACCAAGCGCTGGTAATGCTCGCTATAACCACAGAACAGGTATCATACCTTGGTGGAATAAAGTCAAGGCAATCAGAAGTCAAATAAATTGGCAGTAGGAGGACTGGTTCCTTTTATTACTTACTACACATCCTAGGCTGTACAAAATGAGATGTTCACCTGGGTACTCATGTAGAGAATGGATTTCTTATAACATGACCGGATGATATATGCACCGAGTCCCGAGGTCATGTGCCTCAAGTCATCCCTCCAGGGCTGCCCAGGGAGTATACAGACACGGCCCGAATGACGGGGTATTCGATCGGATAGCGAAGAGCTCAGATTGGGTTGAATTGCACCTGCACTGTCACAGTTGAGGGGGACTAAATAGGACACATTATTGGGATGAGCCTACAACATATCGTCATGAATCCACATCCAATACTCTAAAACAAAAGAAACGAATATAAACAACCACCAACGCCGTAGCCCAGGGTATCAGATGCAGATGAAAAGGCGCAAATAATACCAATCCAGAAGAGAAGAAAAAGAGACAGACAACAGACAACAAGAAACAATAGCATCCACCGAAATCGAACAATCAAATCAAATCAAATCAAATCAAAGAATCAACTCATCATGCTCCTCATCGGATAAATTCCTCAAAAACCTCAGACCCCTCTCCCGCTTACTCAAAACACACCTCGAATCCAAGGCCAATTCATCCTCGGTAACCCACTCACACGGCAAATCCGTCAACCCAACGCGCTGTCCCCACTGTCTGCGCTCATACTGCATGAACCCACCGAAATGACGATCGGTATTCGCAACCCAGATCTCAGCACCATCAGGCGCGTAATCAGCACCACCAATCTCACCAAAGAAATCATGCACCTGCCGTGAACGGAAGAGCTGCGCATCAACAACAGAAATCCGATCCGCAGGCTCGGTGCAGAGAAGAGTGCGCGGGCCACCGCCGACAGGCGAGAAGCGCAGCGAGCGGTATCCCGCGACGTCGGACTCGATAGTCTCAAGGGGCCGCCATGTGCGCGCGTCCCAGATGATGACTGTCTTGTCTTGGTTTGAGGTTGCTATATGGCGCATATCTGGAGACCAGGCGCATGCGAAGCCGAAATCACGGTGGCCGCGGAGGGGATGGACTGGACGGCCTGTGTCGGATTCGATGACCCATGCGTCTGGCGAGTCGCCTATCACGACGCGCAGACGGCTGTCCGGGGATGTGGCGGTGCAGTTTATTGGTTGGGAGAGTTCTTGGTCGTAGATGAAGATGTTTGTTTCTGTGTCAAGGATGCGGAGGTGTTTGTCGTTTGAGGCGAAGACGCCTCTTGGGGAGGGGCCGGTTCGGTTGGGGATTATGTCGACGTGGTTGGTGATTCCGTCGTTGAAGTCCGGGGTTACGAGGCCCTTTATGCCGGGGTCGGAGCCGCTGGTGCTGCGTAGGGCGTATTCGCCGCAGAACCCGCCTGCGATTGTGAGGCCGTGGGCTGTTTTCATGGTGGAGATTTTGACGGGGCCGAGGAAGCCTGATTCGGGGTCCGGTTGGCTCATGTCGATTATACAGCGTGCGTCGCCGGTTGTTGGGGTCCAGGAAAATACTTTTGAGTTGGAGGCGAAATGGACGGTGTTGGATGCTGGAGTCGACATCAGATTGCGGAGTTGGAAGTGTTCGATAGAGGCTTTATGTGAATTGTGCATGGAGCTCTCGCGGAAAAAGGTTTCATGTTGTGGAAGGTGCTTTGCATGGCTGATGTGCGAGTAATCCAGGTTATGATACGAAGTATACCAGGCGTCGCGCACGGCTCGTGCATCGGACCGCGTCACTCGCAAGGTTTCTGTCCATGGAATCTGCTGCAGATCATAGAAATCGCGTCTCCAGCCGGACGGCCGAACAACCTCCTGTGGCGGTTTCCAGCTAATCATTTTTGAGAGTGGGCGGAGCTGTGGTGGAATTCGGCTTTCAGAATGGAAGCCACGGGGAATGACGTTTATTGAGACCATCCAGCGCTGGATGAATTCATCAATCGTGAAGTTCCGCTCGTATGCTAGAGGTGAATTAGCTAGGGTCTTGTCTCAAACGTCACAGCGCCTTACTGGATGTGTGGACTAAAGTTGCGGGGTGTGGTTCAGCGAATTCCATTTGATCGTCAGCAAAGTTCTCCAAACGTTCTGTCGCAGACACTCCCATAGTTTGGCCGAGATCCACATCAATATCGTCATAACTGATACTATTATAAAAATCATCCAGATCGCAGTCTGGCATTTCGGCTTCATGCGTCGGGCGCTCCTTGCGCTGGTAGTAATACTCCTCTTCATCCGGATAGAATCGGAGGAAGTCTTCAAGCTCGTCATCGGACGTCGAAGAGGGTGACGGGTTATCTTCCATGGTAGCTGACTCGTAATCCCTAACCAGATCCTTCTGAGCATCCTCGATGTCGCTAGCTGGTGCGATGGCGATATTTTGCCGGCCGGCGGTGCGGTGAATCAAATTCCGGACAATCGTTTCCATATCCACGTTGCCACTCGGATTCGCGCCAAAGACAAACGCCGGTCCAGCCGAAGGGACACCTCCCATTCCAGATTGTTGGAAATGGCCCCTGTGTCCCGGTAGCAATGAACCACTAGAATCCAAATGCCGATAATCCGGAGGACTACCAGCGCTCGTAACAGCGTTGACGACTTCCGACACCATAAAAGAATCCCTGTGCGCATCATCCACCGCACGCGGGTACTGAGACACAGCAGCAAGAGCCGCAACGCCCACGTCATGTAAACGGTGATCGATTTGGGAAGTCATATTCGTCGGCGCGGCAAATCGATCGGTAGAAAATGTATGCGAATCGAGAGTTGGGTTCAAGGCTGTCGCATTGTCTTCCTGACTCGACAGCCCAGTACCAGAATGATGTGGAGAAGGATTCATGACTCGGGGTTAAACTAATTGACCATCGATATCACATGACACATGGCGCGGCGATGCAGCGGGATCTCGCAAGCGGGCAGGGAAGTCGGAAGGGCGGTTCGCGGAGTTACAGTCGCTAGAATGAAGCATCGACCGCCATGGACATCTGTCTCGAACCCCGATAAGTCGTTGCCTTCAAACCCAGCTGAGTATTGGTTGCCTGTTCCAGGCACCGTGCAGCAAGGCGGGACGGACGATCACGTCCCAAAGGGTCAAATGGGCAGGGATGACAGGTAGCGGTCGCACAAGCGGAGGAAACGAACCAGTAATCAAATAGACAGTGCTAGAGTGTACCTACAGCAACACTTTTTTGGGGGAGTCACACAGATCCTGGATTTGCTTGTGCAGCGATGTGTCTCGCAGCTGAGTGCTGATGCTGACTCGGAGAGTTCAACCCCACACTGCAGGCGTGGCGTTGATTTCCAAGCCCGCGTATATGACGCGAGCAGGAAAAGGCGGAGAGCAGAAAGTGGCGAGTTCAAACGCAGAGGGGTTTAGGAGAAGCCGGGGAAGAGAAAGATGGGTAGAGATCAAAACTGTAGAGTACTCGGTAGAAGTAATGTAATATCGGGTTCTGCTATGGCTACTAGTGGGAGATGAAACGCCGATAGCTGTGGGCTGATCCAAAGGGAAATAGAGGGGGAAAAATCCACAGGGCAGTGCGCGGTAGACTTTTCCGAGGGGCCTGCAAGGAATGACAGAAAAGGAAGAAGCTTGGAAAGGGATATTCTGACTCTCATGCAGCGAAGTCAGATAGAACGTGGGAGGAGAAACGTGAGAGTTGACATTCTCCGCCTTTTCGGTTCCGAGTTGATCGGGGAGAAGATGCCGATGGATTTTGTAGACAAAAAAAAGAAAGCATACGGGATCTGGCAAAAGATGATACATCGAAGAATGCAGGGATAATCACCTCTGAATATTCAGTCTAATATTTATTCTTCTACAACTGTGGGTGTGCATTACTATTTGATTATAAAGAAGATCAAGATATAGTTCAAGGATTAAGCATGAAAAGTAAACTAACGAAATCTAACGAAATCTAACAAAGCATTCTTTATGATAGATTCGAGCCTCGCATATGTAAATAATGCAGGGAGTACGTATAGTCCATATAGTGCATATAGTCCATATAGTGCATTCAGTAACCCGGACAAGCCCGGTGACTTGCGCTTTGATCCTTTTGGGCACAGCTTGGGCTGAACACATGGGGCTATGCAGTCGACCTGTGAAATGTCAGAACATAACTTACATATGTAGTTCATGTTCGTTAACAGGGTTCATAACGCTATTTCAATTACGCTATTTCGATAGGCATGACGATGTATTTATTATCAACAGCACAACGCGCCCGGTCCAAAATGCCGTACAAAGTACAAACCAAAGTGAAATGCCTAATGCTTGAAACAGAAGCGAAAAAAGTCCAGAAAAAATCAAAGATATGAGCACACGTAAAAAAAATGAACTCGTCAGTCGTGTAACCAGAACTATATTATAAGAATATTTGAACGCCGATATGTAAATGATACAATAAATCACGTCGAACCCAGATGCATCCGGGAGAAACAGACAAAAGCGAAGCATAAAAGAAGAAAAGAATAAAGCAAGCGCTATCGCTTTCGTTAATAATGTGAGTAAGTCTCATGCTG